GAGGAGGAGGAGGAGGAGGAAGAAGAAGAAGAAGAAGGAGAAGAAGAAGAAGAAGAAGAAGAAGAAGAAGAAGAAGAAGAAGAGAAAGAAAGAAAGAAAGAAAGAAAGAAAGAAAGAAAGAAAGAAAGAAAGAAAGAAAGAAAGAAAGAAAGAAAGAAAGAAAGAAAGAAAGAAAAGGACTATGGGGTCCTTGGTGCTCTCAGAGTCCTTCCAGACATTTTGTGACCCAGCTAGGGAACAGCATCAGTGGTAGAAGGGAAAGGGTGATTGTGGAGAGGAGGAGTGGGTGGGAGGGAGGCTGAGGAATTCAACTCCCAGAATACCAACACCATCCTACTGTGCTTTCCAGAGTAGACATTTTGTGAGATCTCCTGGTGGTCTCCTTTCCAAATACCATCCTGTTACACTTTCCAGATCAGCCCCATTTACTTGCCAGGAGCTGTGAGATCTCCTGGTGGTCTCCTTTCCACATGCCAACCACATCCTGCTTTGCTTTCCAAATTAGCCATATTCGCTAGCTGGAAGATCTCCTGGTGATCTCCTTTCCACATACCGACATCATCCTGTTACATTTTCCAGATTAGACCCATTTGCTTGCGGTGAGATCTCCTGGTGGTCTCCATTCCAAATGCTGAATACTACTCTGCTGCGCTTTCTAAATTCACCAGGTTGTGCAAGATGTGAATTTTTGTTTTATTTTTAAACCCAATAGGAAAGAAAACAGATAAACAGAGAACTGACACTCTCACAGTTCTACACTTATCACACAGGACAACAACCTTACAATCTTTCTATACATATAAAAGCAAAATACCCCTCACACATCATCACAAAATCTCCAGAATCATCAAGCCTACAAACTTGAAATTTGGCCCAGATGTTCCTCTTGGCTTCTAGGGGCTCACGAAGAAAGGATTTTTCGGAAGGACCCTCGGATCATTAGTATTTCATTAGTATTTCTTCTACAGCAATTAACACGCTCTGATGCTAAGGAGTTCGACTCCCCCTCCCCACCTGAAAAGAAATCTGTTCCCAAGGCAAAACACAAGCAGAGGAGTTTCAGTTTCAGTTTTAGTTTCACAGCAGCCCCAAGCAGCTTTAGTACAGAGCAGTTGAGCTAAGCCACACCCAGGCTCCTTGCTGTCTCCTTGCTCACCCAGCAGTTTCCAAACAGCCCTCAATTCTCTCACACACTGACAGGACGCTAGCCAGATGAATACCGATGGATGCTGTTAGGCAGAGGCAGAATTTTTCCCCCCCTTATTTTCCTCCCCCAAAACTAAGCCCGACCACATAGTTTCGTAGCAAAACACGGGTATCCAGCTAATTTGGGATAAATCATGGATGCCTCCAATGGAGCAACTGCCTCACTCCAGAGAGTCTCCAGATCTTGAGTCACAACTCAGCATGACACACACACAGTCATACCCACAAAAATAACCACCTCAAAGCGTCAACAGATGGAAAACCCGGGGAACACGCAAAAAAAACCCCAAACCCCCACACCTCCCATCATCCTCGCCCACCAACAGCCCGCAGAAGAAAAATGGGAAGTGGGGAAGATGTGCGGAAGACGTCACTAAGCGGAGCTCTTTCATGAGCTGTCATTGTGCGTACGTGGGCTTGCATTCTGGAGGTTTTTTTAAGAAAAAATTGGAAGACTCTCAAAAGGATCTCCTGCTCGAACGGGGGGGGGGCTGGACTAGATGACCTCCAAGTCCCCTTGCAACTCTGTCGTTCTGTAAGTACCCCCCCCACGCACCCTTCTGTACCCCTTTTTGACTCCTAGGCCTCAGGGAAGCCGCCTGGGCGAAGCAGGAAGACAGCGAGGGGGATCCCGGCACAGCTGATCGTCGGGAGGGGTGAAAAAAAGAAATACCTTAAGGACTGACTGGGCGGGGGAGAACACAGTTGGCGATAAGGACTGGGAAGGGAGGGGAGGGGTAGGCGGAGAGGGGCGGGGCCAGTCAGAGACATGATTTGCCTATTCTCCAAACCACCCAGAATCGTAACAACCAGTTCTATAGAACTGGTCCAAACCGGTAGAATCCCACCCCTGCTCTCCCTTGTTCTACCTCTCCCCTGCTCTGCCCAGCCGGATTTTGTCCTTCCCCAGTTTCCTCCACAGCCCACAGGAGCCACACTCCATCTCCCTGTCAGCTGTTTGTCTTCCTCCTCCTTGGATTCAGACTCCGACAGGGGCAGGGCAGGTCCCATGGTAACTTTAACCCGTCCTTAAACGAATGGTGATAAGTCACGCTCACCCTGTACGAACCCAGGCTGCGTCAACACACAAAAGGCCTTTTCTGATAGACGAGAACTTCAAAAGAAAGAACCGGGGGTTGGGGGGGAAGAGAATCAGGCCATTTTACGTACCGCTGCTAAATAGTTCTGTCTCCAGTTCCGGCAACAACCCCAATTTTTCCGCCGGCCTTGCAAGACCTCGAAAGCAGCCACCTTGGCTTTGACTTGGCTCATCTCGGATGGAGAGAGGTTGGTCACCAGCTGCCTGGCTCGCCACCTTGAGCAACACAACAACGACAAACCACGGACAAGGGTTCCTTTAGTGATGGTTGAAACAGGCAACGGGAACAGAACGGAGATGGGCGGGAATTGATTATGCTTTCAGAATGGAGGACTTCAACTCCCAGAATCCCCCAGGCAGAGTTGAAGTCCCTCCCATGGGATTACCTGGCAAAAATGAGCTGGGAACTCTCCTGGAACTGGGTCAGCACTGCTGGCGGCTCCGGCCACGCCACGCTTTTGCCGTAATCGGCCATGTTGCGCACCCCTTGGAAGCGTTGTATGAGGTCCAACAAGTACCCTTTCACTTTGTGACGCCTGTAGTAGGCCATGACAGTGTAGATGGCTCGCAGGTATCGGCAACGTTTGCGGGCGAGGGATCCTCTCCAGACCTGGGTATAGAAAGGCACATCGGGGACTTCCGGTTTGCCAGGCTTCGGCGGCGGCAGGGATCCGTCGGAACCTCATGTCAGAAGGGTATCCTTTGGGGGCGGGTTTTTTTTTTTTTTCACAATGGCAGGGTTCCCGCTCCCATAATCCCCCTCCCAGAGATAGGAAGTCCTCGACTTGCGACCTCGATCGAGCCCCACATTTCTTTTCCTACACAAGAATGGTCGCTAAGTGAATTCTGTCCCTTTCTGGCAACCATGTTAAACGAATCGCCTGTTGTGTGAAGTTAGGAACACGGTTGTTAAACGAATTGGACTCCCCCCCCCCGTGACTTTGCTTGTCAGAAAGTTGCTATAGGGGATCGTCTGATTCCCCCACCCCCACCCCGGGATGCTACATCTGTTGCAAATACGAGTCAGTTGTCAAGTGTCTATTCTGGTCGTAAACTGAGGATGACTTGTATTTCATCTAGGAAATCTGGGAATTGAAATTCCACCACAGAAGAGACATTTGGGGCTCCATTGTGGTGGTAAGCCGAGGACTACCTTTAGAGTGCTGCCTCCTACTTGTACAGGTAGTCCTCAGCCTATGACCGCAACCAAGACCTATATTTATGTTGCTAAGTGGGATGGTTGTTAAGTGAATTCTTTCCATTTTTACCACCTTTCTTGCTATTAAGTGAATCCCTGCACTGGTGAAAATTAGTCACATGGTCGTTAAGTGAATCGGGATGACTACTTGTCAGAAGGTCACAAAAGGGTACTGCACCCATCATAATTATGAGTCAGTTGCCAAGTGTCCGAATTTTGATCATGTGACCCTGGGGATGTAAGTGCAAAAACTGTCATACGGGTAGCCCTCAACTTACGACCAAATCTGAGCTCAAAATTTAGATTGCTAAGTGAGAAATGTGGTGAGTATTCTTGCCAGATTTGTTAAATGATTCAATGCGGTTCTTAAATTTGTCCCCCCGGTTGTTCAGTGAATCGGGATTACCCCATCAACTTCCCTTTTCAAACGGTCATGAGAGAGGATTGGGTGATTCTGGGAAGTAGTCACAGTCATAAATGTGAGTCAGCAGTCGAGTAGCCGAAAGTTAATTCATGTAACTGCAACGGTCCTATTTGTGAAAAATGGTTGTTGGAAAAATTTTTTCTGCGTCATTGTAACTTGGAACAGTCACTAAATGAACTGTCATAAGTTGCGGACTGCCTCCAAATCGCTTTTTTACCACTGCCAACGTAACTTTGAACAGTCACTAAAAGGAGGTGCCGTAAAGTGAAGACCTCCTGAAATTCCAACCCCTAATGTTTGGTGCGGTGTTCCTCGCTTTGGCTCCGTGTGTTTTGGGTCCCGCCCTCCATTGGGACGAGAAAACCAGCCGCGTGGCTTCATCCGGTGACAACAACCCAGGGCGTGGGATTTGCCCGGTTCAGACTGGTTCGGGTGAGCCGATTGTTCCGACAGTCAACTGGCTTCGAACCAGTTAGCTTCTGCTCTTTTTCTGTGCTTTATGTGTCAACTCATAAAATACACCTATGGTCTTTTTAGCGCTGCCAACAGAAAGGGAGGGGGAAGCAGTGCGGCAGCTTGGAAATCGAAAGTGCATTCCATCAATGTTTTCAAAGATAGTAACTAGGCGACCAAAGTTTCTGCCGTGCAAAATTCTAACTGGAGAGCATGATTGATGACTCTGGGCTAAGGATGTGTCTCATTGGAGGATATGATTTATGATACACCCAGGGGGTGGGGGGGAAAAGCAGGGTCAAGGGGGACAAGGAATTATGGCATCTCAGAGTTAGCTACACGCAGGCAGTGTCAGACATGTTAACCCTTTTGAAGTTTTGGAAGTTTGGCTCGAGACTCATGGTTTAAATGGGGTTAAGTGCCGGAATCCTGACATTATGTCTTTTTGTTAGAGCACAGCTGATTTGCGCAGCAGAGGAGTTTGCCGCACCTCCACTGTTTTCTTCGGTGGCAGGAGAAGGTAAGTATTAGCTTTTTAAAATGTGAAGCACGCACGCAGAACGCACATTTGGTGCATGCACAATTGGGGTGCGAGTGCCGGTGCATGTGCGCTTGGTGCGCACGCCAAGCACATGCTCTCTGGACCAGTTGTTATACCGGTTGAATTGCGTCCCTGCCACAACCCTTAGCCACAGCCCCGTGTTACCTTCTGCAACAACAGCACAATAATGGGGATCAGGTTGGCGCGTTCCTGTTCCAGCGCGAACAAAGTCCGGGGCGTTCGGATGAAGATCTTGGTTTGGCCGTAAGCTACGTCATCTTGGAAGCCATGTTGCTCTATCAAGGCTTGGGTGGCTGCACCATCCGAGGCCATGAGGTGGTTGGGCCAGGTGTATTCGCACGTCATCTTATACCTGGGTGAGGAAGAAATTAGGAGAATTGACCTGCTTTGACCGGACCGTAAGGTGGTCTTCGGAAAACCGTAGTAGGTTCTGCAGCTCAACATTGACAATGCTGTTCCCACCCCAAACCACGAAACTCAGGTTGTTTGTCCTAGAGACAAACCGGGGGTTAGGATTCTACTGGTTTGGCCCGGTTCGACCGAACTGGTAGCTTTGAGGATCAGCTGGGAGTGAACCGGTTTGGCTGGTCCCAATGATCATCTGATGGGCTCACCTGGGCTCTGGGCTGTGCTTTATATCCTGTTTTTCAAGCTCAACTGATTCGCGCAACACAGCGGGTTGCCATTTAAACATTTAAGCTGTTCAACACAGAGGGGTTGCTGGTGAGTAACAAATGCTCTGCGTGGGCGCAAAGCATGCACTCATCAAACTGGTTGTTACACTGGTTGAATCGCACCCCTGAGACAAACGCTTCCTTGGTTGGATGTTTCTGGCAATTGGGAAATGAAAACCCCGCAGACAAGACCCCGCAAGGAGAAAGCTAGCAGATCGAGGAGATAGCTCAGTTCTGTTCCTGTGCTGCTCGGAACCAGGATTCACCCCATTTGGCTATGCATCGCCTTTTTTTTTGTGGGGTCCTTGGAGGTCTCTAAGGTCGGTGATTTTTCTTGCAGACGTTTCATGACCCAACTAAGTAACATCATCAGTGCTAGGGGAGTTTGTGGAGAGGAGGAGGGGGAAGAGGAGGAAGGAGAAGGAGAAGAAGGAGAAGGAGAAGGAGAAGAAGAAAAGAAGGACTATGAGATTTGGTGCTCTCTGGTTGGTGGTTTTCTTGCAGATGTTTTGTGACCAAACTAGGTAACATTATCAGTGCTAGAAGGCAGTGGGGTTTGCAGGCAGCAGCAGCAGAAGGAGGAAGGGGGAGGAAGAGAGCTTTGGGGTTGTCATGCCCCTGGTGGAGTCTGACTCTGAGGAAGAGGAGGAACAGCGAACAGGGAGTGGGAGTGCGGCTCCAGAGGTGGTGGCGGAGGAGGCTGGGGAAGGGCAGAGGCCAGCTGAGCAGTCAGAGGAGGATCCAGGCCCATCCCCTCTCCATCCCAGGTCACGCAGGGAGGAGAGGATCAGGGAAAAGTGAGGTCTACTCAAGAGGAGATTACCATGATCGTCCTCGTGGCTTGCAGGTGGGAGCTATGTACTGTATATAAGTTTGTAACTGCGCAGTCAGAATTGCTGGAGTCAATTTAGTGTTTACTTTGAAAGAGGTTTATCTTTGCTGGCGTTCTTCCCACAGACTCTCCTCGGTTATCTTCCTGGAGTTTATGATTCGTTATCTTGGCTTGCTTCGGAACTCTCGTCAATGCGGTTTGTTTTGGTTTTCTTTTTGCCTTGTTATTTACTTTTGCGACTTTAAACTGTGCCTAATAAAACAGCGAAGTTAAGTTGAAGGCCCTTACCGGACTTTAATGTATGTTTTGAGGTTTTGGGTTATTTTGAGAGACTACGGGTCATCACCGGGGTCCTTGGTGCTCTGTGAGCTTGCTTATTTTCATTCAGACCTCTCATGACCCAACTAGGTAATCTCATTGGTGTCACAAAGGAATGGCATTTACACTGTGTTCTTTGGCTTTTCTCCAACGTTTCCCAAAACAGCTGATAAAATGTTTACACGCTCCTTATGATGTCTACCATGCTTTCCTGGCTGGGTCCAGCACCTTCCTCCTCCCTGCAAATGGCTGAAGATCCCAAATTCCACCAAAGGCTGCCCAAGACGACACCGGGGTCTCTTCTTCTGCAGGAACTTTGGCAAAAACTCGGCGGCAAACCGTGGTGGGATTCTCACTGTTCTGGCGAACCCCTTGTTCCAAAGATCAGCTGGCTCTAAACCAATCCACTCCAACAAGCCTGTAGGCCTACCCGCTTTTTTTAAACGCAGAGCATCCCCAAAGCGGTTGAATTGCACTCCTGGCCGCAAACCTTACCGGAGTAAGAATCGGTGGTATGGTTGCCTGTAGGCAAAACCGGCCCTTCGGACCCGGACATTCTCCAGCAGACCCAAGTACGAGACTTGGTGACGGCAGCGTTCCTCGTCGAACAGAAACGGGGACTTCTGCTCATTGGGCTTGATGCAACGAACGTAGTAAGGCTCCTGTTGGAAAAAAGGAGTTTACGCAAGGACCATCTCACGTCTTTAAGTTTGCCCCGTTGTCTAAAATTGCATTTCTGGTTGGAAAGAACATCAGGTTTCCTCGGGTGAAACGAGCACCGGTGGAAACATTTGAAATTGGGGTGGCTAAGTTCTGGCTAAGTCCTGCAGATAGTCCTCGACCGACGACCGCAAGCCCACCTCAAATTTCCATCATGAAGAGAGACAGTTGCTAAATGAGCTCTGCCCCATTTTATGACCTTCCTTGCCACCGTTGTTAAGTGAATCGTTGTCATTATTGGTCGCATGGTTGTTAAGCAAATCTGGCTTCCCCATCGACTTTACTTATCTGAAGGTCATAAAACGGGATTTGACATGATCCCAAAAATGAGTGGCTTCCAAGCATCCGAATTTTGATCTTATGACCACAGGAGCATTGAAATGATCGTTGAGTGTGAAAAATGGTCATAAGTCCCTTTTTCAGTGCTGTTGTAACTTTGAACGGTCACTAAACAAAGTGTTGTAAGTCAAGGACTTCCCTGAACCACACAACCCTGGTCCAGACTTCACAATCTCAGCGATTTGCTTAACAACAGTGGGCACGCAAGGCTGTAAAATGGGGCAAACCTGATTTAACGACTGCCTCATTGAGCCGTAGACATTTGGGGCTCGATTGCAGTTACACACTGAGGACTACCCGTAAAAACTTGCCAACAGCCAAAAGGAAGGTGTTTTGTGTCACATTTATTAGAGAGGATCTTGGCTGCTGGCTGTCGCCAATATACTGACTTTTCCAAGATTTTCTAGCCTGAAATGCTTGCAACTCTGTCATGCTATTTATGGAGGCGTTGCATAATAAACCCTTTAAAACTAACCATATTCTTCATCTTAGTGTGGCTTATTTATAGCGCACCAGTCATGCACAAGCTGCCACCTAAGCAGACTTCTCATTTTAGTTGCCAACGAAGCTGAAAATAGACCTAGTAAGCAATGAGCAATGGTCCCACTCCTTCCCCATCCACAGCCCCTCCCTTCCCCAACCGGAAGGGAACTCCGAATGCTGGCTTGTCTCTGTCTCATTCTTGTTCTCATGCTCCGTTCATAGGATGGAAGTCCCCCTGTCTTCAAGTTGCTAAGCCTGAGGGACATAGAAGGAGCAGTGGTGGTATGGTACCAGTTCCGCCCAGTTCGGCAGAACCGGTAGTGAAAATCACTACCGATTTGGCTGAACCAGTCCTCCAATGATCAGCTGAGAGGATAAAAGAAGCGACAAGCGCATGGGAAGGTGGGAGGTCACATCTAGCTTTTCCTTTCTTCATTCTGTCAGCTGATTGGCGTGTTAGGGGCATGCATGCACACACGATCACCCACCAAACTGGTAGCGAACAAGGTAGGAACCTGCTATTGAGAAGGAGGATCTCAGATACTTGGGAAGGCCCCTATTAACATCCCTCCGTGTCCTGTTTGCCCCAGTCTCCTTTTTCTGAATCTGGTTTATAAGACCCCCCGGGGGGGAGGGGGGAAACAGGGTCACAGGTGACTGTAAATTACACATGCCAGAGTTGGCTTCATCCAGGGCAGTGCCAGTATGTTGCCTCTAATAAATCCTTTGAAGTTTTTTGAAGTTTGGCTCGAGAATCATGATTTAATTAGGGTGATTGCTGGAATCCTGACACAGAGATGGCATGTTCTTTGCAGAACAGACGAATGGACCGAGGTGTCCATGATCGAGAGAGTTGGCTGACTTCATGGAGAACAGGAAACAAGGTTGGGTCCACCAACACTGTAGAATGGCGCTCCTCAAACTTGGCTAACTGAAGATGGGCGGACTTCAAATCTACTGTCTAATGATTTCAACTCTACCATCTACTGAGGTCCTCCTGTGGCCTCTTTGCTCCTGTCTCTCTTTCTCGAGCCCCGTTCCAAAGACTGGAGAATTCTGGGCATTGAAGTCCACCCATCTCCAAGCAGTCAAGCTTGTGGAACACTCAGTGGTGGGTTTCCAAATTGTTTCCTACCGATTCTATGTGCAGTTCTATGCAGGCGCACTTCTGTCGACCTCTGCCAATGCTGGTAAGCTGAGCTGTTTTTTAGCTCAGCTGAGGCGTGGCAATCTGCTCTGCCATGTGAATCAGCTGAGGTAAAAAACCAGGAGAGGTAACAGCGGGGGCAGGTGGGCGGGGCAACCAGAGGTGGTATTTGCCAGTTCTCCGAGCTACTCCAAAATTTTCACAACCAGTTCACCTGAACCAGTCCGAACTAGCTGAATACCACCTCTGGAAACGCTACCGGAGAAAGGAAGACCTGAGATACCTTGGATGCTAGGTTGTCCACCAAAGCCACGATGGAGTTCTTGAAAAGGGTGGCGGCAGTCAGGGGCCGCTTTGTCACCTCAGTGATGCTCTGCTTGCCCTCCGGCCACATCTCCTGGAGGAGGGGGTCTGCGCTGGGGAAAGAAGCCCAAAAGGGGGGTCAAAGAAGTCAAGATGGCGGCCAGAAGGAGATGACTGTCGCTGAGAAGGTGGAATTTTTGTGGCGTGAGATCCACCTCTTGACGTGAGGCGTGAAGAAGCACCAACGTTCCAACTTTTGAAATCACCCCTCTAGTGAAGTTCAGGTCCTCTCCCTGTCAGAGTCCAGAGGCTGGCTTAGCATGATGGGAGTTGTAGTGTGATGCTTTTGGAGGCCTGCCTGCCACGCCGAGCAATTTCCTGAACTGACTTGCTACCAAGACCAGGGAAGGCCATTAAATAACAACAACAACAATAATAACAGTAATAATAACAGTAATAATAACAGTAACAACAAAACAATGATAGTAATAGTAATGATAGTAATGATAATAACGATGATGATGATGATGATAACAAAACAATAACAATAATAATAATTAATAATAATACAGCAACACGGGTAGACCTCCACTTACGACCATTTGCTTAGCGACCATTTGAAGTTACAACGGCCCCGAAAAAGATGTTGTAGGACCAGTTTTCACACTTACGCCCCCCATGGTCACATAATCAAAATTCACATGCTCGGATACGGACTTGTGTTTGTGACAGTTGCAATGTCCCAGGGTTCCGTGATCGCCTTCCGCGAGCTTCTGATGAGCCGAATCAACGGGGGAAGCTGGATTCGCTCAAGAACCATCTTACTTACTGAATCATGTGGTCATCAATGAGGGAAGCCAGGGTTGTGGCCTGTCAGCCACCAGCCCCTGCGGCTGCTGAATTGGATGAGGAGGAGGGGGCACGGGAGTCGGGGCCACCTGAGAGCTCCGAGGGAAAGAGGGAACGGAACTGGCAGAGAGGAGTGGCGGGGATGGAGGTGGAGCCTGAGCCGTCCATCAGCCCTCAGATGGAGAGGTCTGGAGGGGGCTGATGATAAAGAGGAGGAACAGCTGGGTCCAGTACCTGATGCATAGATGACCAACAAGGCAAAGGAGAGGAGAGGAGAGCAGCGGAAATCTATGGGCCGTCATTGGGATGCTAGCGAAGCCCTACTAGATCTGGCAGACAACCACGGGTGGGATGCAAATATCTTTACTACTGGTTCTGTGGGTGTGGCCAGGTGGATGTGGCTGGTGTGGGGATGGCCATAGGACCGGCTGGGCGTGGCTTCTTCTTCTTTGCTTTTTTCGCAGCATACCCCCTCCTGGGCCTCCTGGGAAGCCTCCTGGGCGAAGCAGGAAGACAGCGAGGGGCATCCTGGCACAGCTGATCATCGGGAGGAGGGGGGAAGAAATACCATAAGGACTGACTGGGTGGGGAGGGGAGGGGCGGGCGGAGGTGGGTGGGGCCAGCCAGGGACGTGGTTTGCTGGTTCTCCAAACTGGGCAGGATTGTAACCACCGGTTCTATAGAATCGGTCCGAACTGGTAGAATCTCACCCCCTGCAGAAAACTATTCGTCTCCCTGCCGGACAGACTTGTTAGCCAGATTCGCTTAACAACGGTCTTACTAACTGAATCGCGTGATCCTCCTCTTGGGACCTTCTGATGAGCCAAGTCAATGGAAGGGGGGTGAAACCGGATTCACTTAAAGACTGGTTCACGAGCTGAGCAGGGAGTCAATGAACAACGGTAGCAAGGAAGTTTGTAAAAACTTAACAACCCAAACCGGGGGGGCGGGGGGAGGGAGAGAGAGAGAGATCAATTTTGGTCGTAAGTCGAGGACTACCTGTGCGACGAGGTCAATGGCCAAAGTGTCCCCTTGAGGTGAGTTTTCCTGAAATCCAGGCTTGCTCCACTGCCTCAGCCGGACCTACCTGTTGTACAGCAGTCGCTTGAAATCCTGGAACAGCGTATCCTTGTTCTTATCGAGAAATCCTTCCACAGAATACCTGAAACCCAGATTCAGATTCGGGGTAGATCCGAGGGTGGACAGGACCTGCCTTCCCGTGTAGCACGATGCTCAGGGCGTTGGACTAGATGTCCTCCGAAATCCCTTCCAGGTTCTGTTCCTATTCCTATTCCCTATTCTAATCCTGTTCTGTTCTGTTCTGTTCTGATTCTATTCTGATTCTATTCTATTCTATTCTAAATTCTGTTCTATATTCTATTCTATATTTTATTCTATTCTGATTCTATTCTATGTTCTATTCTATATTCTATTCTATATTCTATTCTGAATCTATTCCGATTCTATTCTATATTCTATTCTATTCTGATTCTATTCTACGTTCTATTCTATATTCTATTCTATTCCGATTCTATTCTACATTCTATTCTATATTCTATTCTATTCCAATTCTATTCTATATTCTATTCTATATTCTACTCCAATTTATTCTATTCTATATTCTATTCTATATTCTATTCTATATTCTATTCTGAATCTATTCCGATTCTATTCTATATTCTATTCTATATTTTATTCTACTATTTTGATTCTATTCTATTCTATTCTATTCTATTCTATTCTATTCTATTCTATTCTATTCAATTCTATTCTATTCTATTCTATTCTGTTTCTATTCTATATTCTATTCTATATTCTATTCTATTCCGATTCCATTCTATATTCTATTCCATCCTATTCCTATTCCTTGTTCTATTCTACTCTACTCTATTCTATTCTTGAGCAAATCAGTGCAAATCTATGTTTGTCAAAATCGGTTGCTTTAAGATGGGTGGACTTCAACTCCCAGAATTCTCCAGCCAACATAGGTAGATGTGAATTCCCAGAATCCCCCAGTCAGCATGTATGGACTTCAGTTCCCAGAATCCCCCAGGCCACTTGCTTTAAATGGGTGGATTTCAACTCCCCGAATTTCCCAGCCACCCGGCCTGTACCTCAACTCCCAGAGTTCTCCAGCCAACATAGGTAGATGTGAGTTCCCAGAATCCCCCAGTCAGCATGTATGAACTTCAATTCCCAGAATCCCCCAGGCCACTTGCTTTAAATGGGTGGATTTCAACTCCCCGAATTTCCCAGCCACCCGGCCTGTACTTCAACCTCCAGAATTCTCCAATCAGCATGTCTGGACTTCCCCAGAATTCTCCAGCCAGCAAGGGTGGAGATTAATTCCCAGCATTCAATAGGCAGAATTCCTAGACTCCAACTCCCAGAATTCCCCAGCCAACGTCATCGTTGTCTTTTATTGACTCCATAATCCCTTGTAGGGTGGAATCTGGGCAAGTGAATGGAGATGAATGTTTACTGGCCGGATGCCCTTCCGGTTGCCAATGCGGAATTCTATTCATCGGACATAATCTCAACGTGAATTCAACTCCCAGAATCCCCCAGCCAGAATGGATGGAGATTAACTCCCAGAATTCCCCAGCAAGCATGCCAGGGCTTCAACTCCCAGAATTCCCCCAACAACCACCATGCTTCTTTTACCCCCGTAAAGGGAAGTAAGGGAAAGGATTAAGAAAAGCCACTTGCGTAACATCTCCGGCGTAATGCTTGATCCGGAAATCACGTCCATACTCCATGGACTTGTCGGTGGAATTGAGCTGTGAGAACACACAAGCCAAAAATCAGTCAAGGTGAGGTCGGGTGGTGGATGTATCTTTTCTCCTGCTCGCACAACCTTGCTCGTTCTTACGCGGCAAAGCCAGGGGTGGGATTCTACCGGTTCAGACCAGTTCTATAGAACCGGTTGTTATGATTCTGCACAGTTCGGAGAACCAGCAAATCACGCCTCTGACTGGCCCCGCCCAACCCTCTCCACCCAGTCAGCCCTTATTGCGCATGCCCGACATCGCCGACTGCGTTCTCCCCCGCCCAGTCACTTCTTAAGGTATTTTTTTCCCCTCCCCATGATCAGCTGTTCTGACGATCAGCTTTGCCAGGATTCCCCTCGCTGTCTTATTGCTTTGCCCGGGAGGCCAAAAAATGGAATGCGGGGAGGGGACACTACAAAGAAGAAGAAGCCACACCCAACCAGTCACATGGCCACACCCACCTAGCCATGCCTGCGTAGCCACACCCACAGAACCGGTTGTTAAAAAATTTGAATTCCATCCCTGGGCAAAGCCAAAAATGGCACAAAAGGGGGAATTGTGTAGATTGGATTCCATAATCAGCCACATGATTCACTTGCCAACCATGTTCGCCTCTTCGTGATTGGGGCAACTCAATTTACAACCATCATAAAAATGGTCATAACATCGAGTCAGCTCACGTGATTATCTGTTTCGTCAATGGCCCCCAAACCCATGACCAAAATCCCAGGCCCAATTGAGCTTGTAAGTTGAGGACTGGCTGTTAATGGCATTATATATTTCTAACTTGGCTTTACAAAGTCAATCGATCGATCCAGAATTGAGCTGGGAGGGGCCTTGGAGGTCATCTAGTCCAACCCCCCGCTCGAAGGGGAGACCCTAGGCCGTTTCAGACAAGTGGGGTCTCCGGTCTCTTCTCCAAACTTCAAAACCAAGATAAATGTATAAAAAAACGTTCACGAAGCCACATATTCAGATTAAAAATATAGAAAAGCAAAGAGTATATATACATTTATTTTACTAAAGCAACTCAATTTCTGTATTTTTCCTATAGATGTTAAAAATGGTGCATTCAGTGGCACTGTTTGTAAAATAAAGGGGAAAAAAATGATTTTTCAAAAAAACAGGTAAAGGTTCCCCTCGCACATACGTGCTAGTCATTTCCGGCTCTAGCGGGTGGTGCTCATCTCCATTACACAGCCGAAGAGCCAGCGCTGACTGAGATGTCTCCGTGGTCATGTGGCCGGCATGATGAAATGCCGAAGGTACACGGAGCACTGTTACTTTCTCACCAAAGTGGTCCCTGTCTTGTTTTTTTACGGTCTTTCGATTTACTAGGCTGGGACAAGTAACGGGAGCTCGCTCTGTTACACGGTGCTAGGGATTTGAACTACTGAACTGCCGACCTTTCTGATCGACGAGCTCAGCTTATTATCCACAAGGCCACCACGTCCCCTTAAGCATATAAATAAATCTAAAAAACAGTCACGCCTGAAATGGTATAGAATCTCCTGCTTGAGCAGCGGACTGGACTAGAAGACCTCTAAGGTCCCTTTCAGCTCGATTCTGATTCTGTTTCCAATTTTAAAGGACAGCTTTCTGAAAGCTTTATAATAGTACTAGCTTGATACCTGTTGCTTCGCTACGAAACTATGTGGTCGCGCTTAGTTTTGGGGGAGGAAAATAAGGGGAAAAATTCTGCCTCTGCCTACCAGCATCCATCGGTATTCATCTAGCTAGCGTCCTGTCAGTGTGTGAGAGAATTGAGGGCTGTTTGGAAACTGAAACAGTAATTGCTGTGTGAGCAAAAAGGAGACAGCTAGGAGCCTGGGTGTGGCTTAGCTCAACTGTTCTGGACTAAAGCTGCTTGGTGCTCTGAAACTGAAACTCCTCTGCTTGTGTTTTGCATTTGGAGTAGATTTCTTTTCAGGTGGGGAGCGGGAGCAGAACTCCTTAGCATCAGAGCGTGTTAATAATATACAAAATACTAAATGCTCTGATGGTCATTTCGAAAAATCCTTTCTTAGTGAGCACCTAGAAGCCAAGAGGAACATACGTGCCAAATTTCAGGTTTGTAGGTTTTACAGTTCTGGAGATTTTGTGATGATGCGTGAGTGGTATTTTGCTTTTATATATATAGAAGATGATCGATTTATGACCATTGGTTCAGTGACTTTTCAAAAGTTACAATGAAACTGAAAAACAGGACTTATGACTAGTCCTCACATTTACAACCATTGCAGCATTCCCCACAAACACATTGTCAAATTTCAGCACCTGGTTACCGGTATATATTTAGGATGGTTGCAGCATCCTGGGATCACATGATCACCATTTGAAATTCTTCCCAACCGGCTTTCGTCAGGCAAAGTCAATGGAGGAAGGTGGTTTCACTTAATGTCGATGTGATTCATTTAACAACTGTAGCAATTCACCAATCCCAAAAGCTCCAAAGCCAGGGATGACTCACTGAACAACTTCCTTGCTTAGCAATGGAGATTCTGATTCATGCTACGGTCATAAGTCATGGACCTCCTGTCGCCAATTGCTCACCTCCCCTTTCCTCCCTATAGCTGCCCTGGGTTCAAATTGCACTGTTGCTTCCTTTCACTTTTAGAATTCCCTACCTGCTGCACTGTCACCCAGATTATTCAGAAAAAAACATACAAAAACCGAAAAGTGTCCCTACGTGGTTGCCAAATTGTGTTTCCCCATATCCCATATGGGGGCAGTAAAGGATCCTCAAATTATCTTCCTTACGGAGTATTACTCCTGCGATCCCCTTACCTTCCTGCTGGTATAATGTGGGTGTTTTCCAAGCCTGGCATCCATACTCTCCAAGAAAAGGGCATCAGTGACTTTGCCCACAGTCAAGCAAGCTTCATCCAGGATGGCAATGACGCCCTTGTGCGGTTCTTCCACTAAATCGACGATGATTTGATTGTCAAAATATTCAATCTGTCGAGAGAAGGCAGAGTTGATGCTTGGCAAGGGAAGGGTTAAAGTAGATTCTCACACACACAAACCCAAACTTGGATGCTTTAAGGTGTGTAGACTACAACTCCCAGAATTCCCCTGCCAGCCATGCTGCAGGGGAATTCTGGGAGCTGAGGTCCACAAATCTTAAAAGTTGTACAGGTTGAGAACTACAGTTACAGGTACTCCTTGACTTACAACATTTCATTTAATGACCACTCAAAGTTATGACGGTGCTGAAAAAGGGGGCTTATGACTAGTCCTTGACTTACAACCATTTGTTTAATGAAAAGGGATATGACTAGTCCTCGGCTTACAACCATTCATTTTACAACAATGCTGATAAAAAGGAACTTAGGATCATTCCTCGGACTCATGACTGTTGTAGCGTCCTCATGGTTCTGTGATCAAAATTTGAGCAACTGGCACGTATTTATGATGGTTGCCAAGTCCTGCATTCAAGTGATCGTCCTTTGTGATCTTCCTACCAAATGGGATTTGCTTAAGGATTGCATGATTCACTTAACAGCCATGGCAAAAAAAATCGTAAAATCCAGCATGATTCACTTAATAACTGAATTTATGATAGAAATTCCGGTCCCACTTTGTGATCCCACTTTGTGATCCCACTTTGTGATCAAAAGTCGAGGACTAATTGAGGGGTTGGCAACCTTAAACACTCAAAGAGCCACAAAGGTCCCAACTGGAAACCCCCCATTCAATTATGGAGTCAACTGGAAGTCCAGTTCCACCCCCACCAGAGTCTCCTCCTTGTCTGGTGTCCTTTTTCCTTTTACCGATTATTGACAAGAGAGCTGCAGCAGAGGGATGAAAGAGCTGCATGCGGCTCCAGAGCCGTGGGTTGCCGACCCCTGGACTAACTGTAATGCTTCAGTTTCAACAGTTGTCGTTGAACTCTCCTCTGATTTTATGGGAAAAAATTAATTTCAGATTGAAAAACAATTTGGAGGGTGTTCGGAGGGCTGCGTCAATGTTTAGGGGACTCACGTGTTGCCATTCAATCCCCTCACGCTGGTATTCCTGCTGTTCCTGCTGGAGGATCAACTCGATGAACAGCTGCTGCAGCTTCTCATTACAATAGTTGATACAAAACTGCTCGAAGCTAGAAGAAGACACTTAGAAGGTCAGGATCTTTGTCCAACAATCCGCCCCCCACCCAGCACCCATCCAGCTACAGCAGGGGTGTCAAGCTTGATTTCATTGAGGGCTGCATCAGGGTTGTGTTTGACCTCAGGGAGGCCGGGGGGGGAGGGGCGTGGCTGGGATGGACATGGTCAAGTCGACGTCATTTGTCAAGGCTCCATTTTTGGCCTCCTGGAGGCCTCTGCCAGTGAAAACAGAACTTGGGGAGGCCACATGTGGCCCACCTGGGCTCCATTTTTGGCCAGGACAGCCTCCTGTCACGGTTGAAAATGGAGCCTGTGAGGGCTCTATGCGGCATTCCCGAGCTCCATTGTTGCTGGCAGAGGCACCACGGACCAGTCTGCTGTTTCCAGGGTGCTCCTGTAGGCCAATGTAAACAACCTGCAGGGCAGATATAGCTCACCGGCTTTGAGTTTGACACCCCGATCTACAGGAATTCTTTGCTTAATGACTGACCACTTAACAGCCATCACACACACATACACACACACACACACACACACAGAGCAGCCTCTGGCTGTACCCAGTCTAGCAAAATAAAGGAACAGGAAAATGAGTCCATGAAACAAGGAACAAACAATAAGTCCACAAAGTCCACAAAGTCCAGAAGAAGGCAAGTAGTCCTGCAAACTCCAAATGTCTTTACCCGCACAACAAACTCTACCAATTCAGCATTTGTTCCTGACAAATGCCGATTCCCGCAAGGTCTCCTTAAATCTCAGTCCCCAGGTGTGCCTTGGGAAGGTGGACTGGGTGCATTCCTCCCGAGTTGTTGGGTCGTCCTGTGCTGTTCCTGCCTTCTCTCCACCCTCCGTGCTTGAGGATCAGGAAGGGGCAGTCCTTGCTCATTGCCTATGCAACATTGCTCCTCATGTCCACTGCTTGCCCTCTCTTAGTTATCCTGCCCCCGTTCCACCCTGCGTCCCAATCCTGAAGGGCCCTGAGCTGACTTGGCCTGCTCCTCTCCACATTCCTCTGAAACCATTGAAGCCGCTGCCTCAATCTCCGTTGGCTCCAGCTCTGGCTCGTCTTCCCCTGCAAATTCAGGCTCCAATGGGGGCATGACATAGAGATTTCAATGGAGGAAGCATGCAGCCAACTAATGATGAGGAAGAGGAACTGCCTTCTGTACCTGATCACGAGAATACATAGGGCAGAAAAAAGGCAGGAGCAGGGATGGTCAGCTCAATAACTCGTAAAGAGACAGCCTTGCCTATCTTGATGCATTGCATCAGAAGGTGGCTATTTAAGCACAGGAGAGAGTAAGAAGCGACGGTGGGAGCAACGTGTTCATTTTCGGGTGGTGTGTTTTTGGGCTGTTGTGAGTCCTGCCTCGCTTTGGATGGACACCTTTCAGTGGTGGGTTTCCAACGTTTTTCCTACCAGTTCTACGAGTGTTTCTATGCACACTTGCTTTGCGTGTGCATGGAGGGCTCAGAGACCAATCTCTATCCGAATGCTGATGAGTGAGCTGAGCTGTTTTTTAGCTCAGCTGAGGCACGGCAATCTGCACGAATCAGCTGAGCTAAAAACAAGGGAATATAGGAGAGGTGATGGCGGGGGATGGGTGGGCAGGGCCAGTTAGAGGTGGCATTTGCCAGTTCTCTGAACTAGTCAAAATTTCCGCAACCGGTTCGCTTGAACCGGTCCAAACCGGCTGAATACCACCTGGGGAATCACCATGCCTTGTACTTGGATTGCGCCGTGTGAATTCTGGACTTTTCTTGCCTCAGGAACCTGCTTGTACTTTGGATTTAACCTTGCCTGGTGGGTTTATTTGGATTGGGCAACATTTAAGTGCCACGTGGACACACTGGATGCACATTGCTCTGAGGACTAACACCGGTCTGCTTGTGGCTGGATTTAATTGGGATTGTTCTGGGTTTTGGGTGAAGGGAACTGTGGGGGAATATTGATAAACCCACTGAACCACAATTACGTGCGTGCGTGTGTGTGTGTGTGTGTGTGTGTGTGTGTGTGTGTGAAAGAGAGACTGAGAGCTGGACAACACACAAAGTTACAACTGCTGGTGTACAGGCAGTCCTCAAGTTACACCCACACTTTTTAGCCCCAAATGCCTGTCACTAAGCGAGACAGCAGTTAAGCGAGTTTTGCCCTGTTTTACTACCTCTCTTGCCACCACGGTTAAGTGAACCACTGCAGCGGTTAAGGGAGTAACACGGTTGTTAAATGAATCTGGCTTCCCTATTGACTTAGTTCAGAGATCAGCAACCAGTGGCTCCGGAGCCACATGTGGCCCATTTGGGTCTCTGCTGCGGCTCCCGATCAGCTGATCCCACCACTGGCTGGCCCTTCCCCTCCCGGTCACTCCTCTCCTGGCCTGAGAAGGTAAGGATGATGGGGACGCGCTCCATATTCCAGAGCAGGAGTTGATGGGGTAAGTGTGAGTGACACTGAGTTGGCTACGCCCACCTAGTCACACCGGTTGTTAAATTATTGGCTCCTGGTGTTTTCTTTTCTGTGGGAAATAGGTCCAAATGGCTCTTTGAGTGTTTAAGATTGCAGACCCCGGGATATGGCAACCATCATAAACACGAGTCAGCTGCCAAACATCTGAATTTTGATCACGTGACCATGGCGGTGGAGGAATTCAAAATATTATACTACTGTTTTGTGGGCGCGCGCAGAGCATTCTAAAATGGGCAATTTTAATCATGAAAACTTACATTACCATCAGCGCTGGTGAGTAGAACAGCTGAGGCATGGCAGAGCGGCTCAACCGAGGTACAAATAAAGGAAATACAGGACAGGAAAGGGCAGGGGGTGGGCGGGTGGTGCTGGTGGTGGCCAACTGCTGACTGGCGCTACCGGATCACTAAAACCGGTGTGAACTGGCAGTATACTACCACTGGAGCACGAGGACGTACAAAGAAAGGCGGTCGTAAGTCCATTTTTTTCCAGTGCTATTGTGACTTCGAACAGTCACTAAATGTACTGTTGTATGTTGAGGACATCCTGTAAATACGCACACTATCACATTTCATATGGTTGGCAAACTGGCTTGTCTTTACGACCAGTTGCAGGTGCCCGTGGTCACTTTTTCTTGCCAGGTTTTGCCACTTTCCAGCAAAAAAAAGTCAACTTGAGAGAATGGGTTCACTTAACAACCATGTGGTTCACTTAACGGCCATGTAACTCACTGTATGACCCTGGCGACTCGCTTTAGGATCATCACAACATAGTCATTCAATTGAGGCTGGCCAGCTATGGCCCATTCAACAACTGCAACAACTTATGACCAAACTTCCAAGCCTGATTTTTAGTCATTAAGTGAGGACTGCCTGTACGATCCAAATAAATTCTCCTGGTGTCTTCTACCTGTTGTTTTCAAAGATCTCGAAGCCGTAAATGTCCAAGACACCGATGACTGTATTTTTGCCATGGATTCGCGGGTCGTAGTTCTTGACCGCGATGATGGCATTGATACGGGTCACAATCCAACAAAAGAGCCGCTCATAAATAGCCTGCGGACAAACACGGGGATAAGACTATACATTCGTTGTGCCGGATGAACTGAGTTTAATGACCCCCACCTCCACCCAAATGTCCTCTTTAAGATGCCGTGAAGTCACACTGACTTGGGTAAGATTAAGGAAGATTTTGGATTTTGGAGCTAGTTTCGTCCGGTGGTGAAGGAGCCATTGCTAGAAAGAGGGAGGTGGAGACTTCTAGTCCCACCTTCACCGGCTGGGTAATGTTGGTCCAATCACCAGGATATTGGTTCAGTTCTAGTCCCGCCTTAGGCATGAAAGCCAGCTGGATGACCCTGGGCCCATCACCAGGAGACTGGGAGTTCTAGTCCCACATTAGGCATGAAAGGCGGCTGGGTGACCCTGGGCCCATCACCAGGAGACGGGGAGTTCTAGTCTTGTCTTAGGCATGAAAGGTAGCTGGGTGACCCTGGGCCCATCACCAGGAGACTGGGAGTTCTAGTCCTGTCTTAGGCATGAAAGGCGGCTGGGTGACTTTGGGCCAATCACCAGGAGACTGGGAGTTCTAGTCCTGTCTTAGGCATGAAAGCTAGCTGGGTGACTTTGGGCCAATCACCAGGAGACTGAGAGATCTAGTCCCACGTTAGGAAGGAAAATCAGCTGTGTGACTTTCGGCCAACCACGTAGAGATATGAGTTCTAGTCCTGTCTTAGGCATGAAAACCAGTTGGGTGACCCTGGGCCCATCACTAGGAGACTATGAATTCTAGTCCCACGTTAGGAATAAAAGCAACCAGTTAACCCGCTCAACATCACCCAAAACCCCCTAAGACCACCGACGGCGTCATATCCAGACAAACTCTGTCGTTACCTTGGCGCAAGCATCCCGCGCATAGTTGGCTTCATCGCAACCGTGGCCTTTTTGGATCACCTCCCCACCACCCGTCGCCACCGTCCGATACAGGAGGGTGTTCAGGAGGCTCTCTGGGTCAGTGGAAGTCAGTTCCGCAAGGTAGGAGACCAGTTGTGGGTCCTCGATGGCCACCTCGTCACCAGAGTAGATGAAATTCACATTGCCCTGGAAGTTCAGCGGACGAAAAGATCCATCAGACACCAAATACAGCTAGTCCTCGACTTGCAACAGTTCGCTGAGGGACCGTTCGAAGTTCCAACGGCACTGGAAACAGGGACTTAGGACTGTTTTTCACACTTATGACCGTTGCAGCATCCCCCAGGTCAGGTGATTTGCAGTCACTTGCTTGACAACTGACTCACATTAACGGCAGTTGCAGCATTCCAGGGTTATGTGATCCCCTTCCGACAAGCAAAATCCATGGGGAAGCCAGGTTCACTTAACAACCATGTTACTAATTGAGCCAGTGCAGTTAACCCATGTTCGGTAAGTATTGGGTTAGCTCAATTAGACAGGAAAGGGTGCGCAAGAAACTCAAGATCGATTTGCCCTGTTCCTCTGGACTATAAAAGGAGACCGGAAGTATCTTTATTTCATGGCGAGAAAGTTATTTTCTAATCCTCTCTAACTTTTCAACCGTTCTGTAAGCATTGGGCTAGTTCAACCAGACAGGAGGCGGCGAGGAAGAAACTCAAGACGGCCCCGTCTTAATTTTCTTCCGTATAAAAGGAGATGGGAAGCATCTCTTTCAGTTTTCAAGATCACGTTATCAAACCCTAATATATTAGAAAGTACCGATCTAGTCCAGGGGTGTCAAATTCAAGACCCCACCCCCAAGCCGGATCTTGTCCACTGAGGGCTTAGCTCTGGCCCACCGGGACACCCTGGAAACAGTGAAGGACCAGCCCACGGTGGCCCTTCCGAGCTCCCGTTTTTGCTAGCGGAAGGTTGCAGAAGGCCTTCCCAGCCGAAAATAGGGCTCGGGAACCCCGTTTCCGCTGGCAGGCCACTCAGGCCACCACTACAGGCACCCCTGACACAAATGATGTCAAGAGGGCCATGCCTACCCTGGACATGCCCACAGTCCTGTCCCCCCAAGGTCAACCCCAAGGGTGGGTTGCTACCGGTTCACACCGGTTCAAGTGAACCGGTTGTTAATTTTATGGACAGTTCGGTCAACTGGCAAATCCCACCCTTGGTTGGCCCCGCCCACCTCTCCCCTCCCCTCCCAGGCGTCCCCCATTTTGGATCTCAGGTAAGCGCAGGGCCTGAAAGCGGGATGTTCCGGAAGGCCAGCCTCCGGAGCACGGGGGGAGCAAATACCTCCCCCTCCCAACGGCCTGCGTTCGCTCCCAGGATGGTGCAGGAGGCCAACGAGGCCACACCTACCATGGCCATGCCTGTCCAGCAACCGGGCAGAGAACCGGTAGTTAAATTATTTGACCAGCCTATTCCTGGTCAAACCCAGCCCTGATGCATCCCTCAAAGAAATCAAGTTTGACACCCCCGTTCTAGCTGTTCCCCTGATGTTGGTTTCCTGATCCCGGCCGACCTCGAAGGGAGGGCCAGTAAAAACGTCAAAACCATGTCGTTTACCAAGTGTAAAATGGCTGCCAGGATCTTCTGCACAGAATCGATCTCTTCCGAAGTAAAACCGATCACTTTCATGGCGTCCAAGACGGATTGATAGTTGCTTTTCTCACTCTCCAAAGACTTGGGAGAGGGCAGGAAGGTTCAAGGCCATTGTTGGAGAACAAAGGGATGAAATGAAAATAAGAACAAGAATTAATCGGGAGGCCTTGGCTGTTCACCATAGTCCTCGGTGTCAACTCATAAAATATTTCTAGGGTTTTTTTAGAGTTGCCAACAGAAAGGGAGTGGGGGAAAAGGAGTTTGAAAGAGCAGTGTGGCTGTTTGGAAATGGAAAGTGCATTCCATACATAGTTTTTCAAAGAAGACAACGGTAGGAGGGTTAGATCTTCCCTCCCCTTTAGCAGCCGAATCATCATCTTCTGAACCCAGCTCCCGGCGCTTCCCCGTGCAGCCAGTCCTCGAACCTATGACCCCAATGGTGCCCCCCGCCCGATTCCTGTGGCTAAGACGTTCATTCCAGGAGGTCTGTCCTAGTTTATGACGTCTCCTGCCCCGTTCATTCAGGCAACACCTGCTGTTATTCAACGAGTTCCACTCCTTGTCGTTAGGCGAGTTGTGTGTGACTACCACGACCGTCGTAAATACGAATCTGTAGTCTCCCGTGAGGGGAGCCGAATGTCAACCCATAAAATATTTCTATGGTCTTTTTAGAGTTGCCAACAGGGGAGTTGCGGGGGAGGGGGTTGAAAGAGCAGTGTGGCAGCTTGGAAATTGAAAGTGCATTCCATAAATAGTTTTTCAGAGATAGTAACTAGGTGACCGAAGTTTCTGCTGCACAAATATCTAACTGGAGAGCCTGACTGATGATTCTGGGCTATGGAGGTGTCCCATTGGAGAATATGAATTACGATACACCCAGGGGGTGGGGCGGGGGAAAACCAGGGTGAAGGGTGACAAGGAATGATGTGTCTCAGAGTCGGCTGCACCCAGGCAGTGCCGGCATGTTAACTTTCAATAAATCCTTTTGAAGTTTTGGAAGTTTGGCTCGAGACTCGGGATTGAAATGGAGGGTAACTACCGGAATCCTGACACTCGGCTTACTTACGACCACAATTGAGCCTGAAATTTCTGTGGGTGAACAAGACAGAGGTTAATTGAATCCTGCCCCATTAATAACCTTTTTTTTCCTGCCGTTATTAAGCGAATCCTCGCAATTGTTAAGCTAGAACACGGTTGTTAAGTGTGAATCCAGCTTCCCCTGTTGATTTTGCTCGTCAGAAGGTCGTGACAATGTGACTCCTGGGACACTATGACCGTCATAAATGTGAAGCGATTGCCAAGCTGCTGCGTTTGGATCGCAGGACCCTGGGAAGGCTGTAAGCGGTTGGTAAGAGTGAAAAATGGTCATGAGTCGGTTTTCTCAGTGCCCATTCTCAAATGGTCGCTAAATGAAGCATTGTAAGTTGAGGACTTCATGGATTCCTGCTCGAAAAATCCCAAATGCTTATTCTGTTTTATTGAATGCCTTTTTTGTTTATAAGGCAGTCCTCAGCTTACGACCATAATCAAACGCCGGTTAAGGTTTGTAAGTCACACCAGGCATTAAGTGGGCAGGAAAGATCGTAAAGTGAAGCAAAACTCACTTAAGGAATGTCTTACTTAGCAACGATATTTCAGGGTTCAACTGCGGTCATAAATCAAGGGCTACCTGTAGAGTAGTCTGCAATTAACGACCACAATCGAGCCCAAAATTTCTGTGGCTCAGCGAGACATTTGTTATGTGAGTTTTACCCTATTTTATAAATATCTTTTGCCCCCGTTGTGAAGTCAATCACTATGGTTATTAAGCGAATCACATGGTCATTAAGTGAATTGGGCTTCTCCCATTGAGTTTGCTTGTCAGAAGGTCGCAAAAGTGGATCAGGTGCCCCCCCCCCCAGACACAGCGACTGCCATAAGTATGCGTTTCCAAGAGTCTCAATTTGGATTAGGTGACCACAGAGATGCTGCAATGGTCGTAAGTGTGAAAAATGGTCATAAGTCATATTTCCATTGCTGTTGTAACTTTGAAATGGTCCCTAAATAAACCATTGTAAATCAAGGACTAGCTGCCCCGGTACAAATATTAACACGTACAAACACGACTTCAGAGATTTCCGCAGATTAACTGAGAGGCATTTAGAGCCAATCCTCGACTTACAGCCATTCGTTTAGGGACCGTTTCAAAGTTACAATGGCATTGAAAAAAAAGCAAGTTCTGGCCGTTTTCGGGGTCAAACTTCAGACCCTTGACAACTGGCTTGTGATACTAATTTCACAGGAAAGTCATAAAACGGGGCAAAACTCACTTAACGACATATATTTTGAGCTCAATTGTGGTCATAAGTCAAGGATAGCTGTCTGTGGCCTGGGTTCATATTACAGGGGGTCCTGGATTTATGACCGGGATGAAGCTTGTCCAGGGATGGGATTCAAATTTCTTAACAACCAGTTCTGTGAGCATGGCCTCATTTATGGGTGTGGCTTGGTGGGCATGTGACTGGGTGGGCATGGCTTGCTGACTGGGTGTGGCTTGGTGGTCATGTGACTGGCTGGGTGTGGCTTGTATGTAAATATTGTAACTATTTATGTAAATATGGAATCTTTTTATGAAAGAAAGAGCAACTTTTACCCCAAATCAGGCAGGCAGATTGAGTTGCTCACAGAATCACAGATTCACTCAGAGATCTATCTATCTTTCTGCCATCGGCTGCCTGAGTCTGCACTGAATAATAGAACCTTCAGTCCTAAGGGAGGTTCGGCTGTGTTTAAAAGCAGAGCCGAAGATCTAAAGATTAGCTAGAAAGCAAGAAATCCAATGATTTCCTGCTTTCTAGCTAATCTAAATCTCCTGGCACAGCTAATAGTCGGAACAGCTGATGATTGTGGGGAGGAGGAAAATTACCAAAAATTAGGCGAAGGCACAAGGCAGGCAAGTTGGATGGCACGCATGCCAGGAAAGAAGCGGGTTGGCGGGGCGGGGAGAGGCGGGGCCAGCCAGTGGCGCTATTTGTCGGTTCTCCGAACTGCGCAGAATCGTAACAACCACTTCTGTAGAACCAGTCCAAACTGGTAAAATCCCATCTAGCCATAAATCATACGGTCGTAAAAGAATTGGCCACATGATCAAAATTCAGGTGCATGGCAACTGACTCGTACTTATGACGGTCATACAGTCATGGGTCATTAAGTGAATGTCAACCATGTCAGCATGATCCTTCTGACAAGCAAAGCCCACGGGGAAGCTGGATTCACTTCACAAGCGGGCTACTAACTGAATCAACTGCGGCGGTTCACTTAACAACCGAGGCAGGGAAAGTCATAAAATGGAGCAGAATTCACTTAACAACTTGTCTTGCTTAGCAACAGGTATTTGGGGCTCAATCATGGTCAGAAGTCTACCTGTACATTCATCGGCCACTTCGTCACATTTTCTAATATCTGTAATTTTCTGCGATTACTTTCCTCTCTTGTTTACGTGGAACAATCCACGTTTCTCTACTTCTTCTTCTCCCCAGGACTTGCCACTGATTCAGTGGTGCGGTACTTACCCTGTCATTACTACTACCACCCTCCTTGGTAAACCTGTAGGCCGTTGGGTCTCCAACCAGGTGGAGAGAGTCCAGCTTAGCGTCGGAGGCACCAAGAAGCAACTGGAAAAAAAATCACTCAACTTATGATTCATTTAGTGACCGTTTGACATTACAACAGCACCGAGGAAAGTGACCTAGGACTGTTTTCACACTTATGACCATCGCAGCATCGCCGTGGTCATGCGAGCAAAATTCAGACCCTCAGCAATGGGTTCCTATGTGACAGTGACAAGCCCGGTCAACGAAGAAGCCGGATTCACTTAACAACCCTGTCGCTAAGTTGACAACTGCAGGGATTTTCACTTAACCAATGTGGCAAGGAAGGTCGTAAAATGGAACAGAACTCTCTTAATGTCTCACTTAGCAACCGTTGTGGTCATAAGTTGAGGAGTACCTGTCAAAGCAGCCTATCTCAACGGCTCTTTCTTGGCGGAATTTGTGTCTTGTCTTTAGTCCTCCAGTGAACTCTCTAGGATGAGGGAGGACTAGATTTCACTGGCCTTCAAGTTGCCAACATTGAAAAAAATTGACACTAAACTATCCCACTTCCTTTGGAAGATGCCATAATGCAGGTTGGTCTCAATTTATGATCATCGTTGGGACCACTGTTAAGCAAGACCGTCATTCAAGGACTTGCGCCCGAGGTCGCGCCCTTTTCTTCTCCTTGGCCACTGTGGTTCAGCAAATCCCCGCAGTCATTCAATGAATCACCCAGTTGTTAAGTGATCGAAAAGCTCAACATGGAGATAATTTCTCCTGGGGAGATCGTATATTAATTATTTTTAGATATCTATTAATTAGTAGATCGAACCGTTAAATAAGTTAAGGAAGATGGGAAACATGGTCCAGATTCCCAGGTGGGAGGGAGGGGCTGCATCCCGGAGGAACAAAAAAACCCCCACCCATTTTAGAGATTTTGTGTATGAGAATGAGGACGAAGACAGTTCCTCCTCAATGGTTCCCAGGTTTCATTTTATGCTGCAAGTCAGCAAGATTCCGTCTTCAGGTGAGCTTCAATACATATCGACTTACAATCTTCATTTAGTGACCGTTCAAAGTTTTTCAAACTTACAATATTTGCAGCATCCCCATGGTCATGGGATCAACATTCAGTTGCTTGGTAATTGACTCATACTTATGACAGTTTGCAGCATCCCAGGGCCATGTGATCCCCTTTTATGACCTTCCGATCGCCAAAGTCAAAGGAGGAGCCAGATTCACTTAACAACCGTGTCACAAACTCAACTGCTGCAGCGATTCAACTTAATGACAGGGCCCAGAAAGATCGTAAAATGTGACAAAACTCGCTTAACAACTGACTGCGATGGGAATCTTGGTCTCAATTGTCATCGTAAGTCGGGGACTATCTGTCAAGCGAACTTCTCTGAACAAGTTCAGTGTGTCTTTCTTGTTGTTGTTTTTTTCCAACTCAATCACCCCCTTAGATCTAGCAAACATTGAAGGATCCCGGAATTGTCTCCCTCTAGAAGACGTGTGATGAGATCTCGCCTGTACACCACAACGTGCCCAAGGAATGAGAGTTTCAGGAAAGGACAACCCCATCGAAGAGGGTAAGTCCATGTTCCAAACTGAGGAAACCCCTGGACATCTCAACTTAAGACCGCAGTGGTCATCCTGGTAGGATCTGAACCTGATCTAGAACGTTCTGGATCGACTGAGGGGCAGGAAGAAGGACCTTTACGGGTCCTCGAGTAGAAGTCAACTCACCTGGTAGAAGGCATGGAAGTTTCTCTCGCCTGGTTGCTGTTTGAGGACTCGTGACTGCAAGAGAAGACAAGAAGACCTGGAGGGCTTGCTCGGAGACACACTTTGGTACCCAAAGCCAAACACATCATCTGTGGCAGCTACAGAGCTCAGATCCCACTTCTGAGGGTCTCATGTTGAAGTCCACTCCACTTAAATGATGCCGGTTGGGGGATTCTGGGAGTTGAAGTCCACCCCCTCTTAAAGCATCCAGCCTTCCACAACTTCCCGGGGGCGGGGGAGCATTTTTCACCCTTCCCGAGCCTCCGTGAGGGCTCTGCACTTACCTGGCATCCAAAATGGGTTGGGTGGGGGCTCCTGGGAGGGGAGGGGCAGGATGGGTGGGGCCAGCCAGGGGAGGATTTACCAGTTCACCAAACTGGTAATTAAAAATGATAAAATTACCTATCGGTTCGCCCAAACATTCTGGGAATTGAAGTCCTCCCCTCTTAAAGCATCGGGAATCACTTATTTCAAGATGCTCCATCAATGTGGATTTTGGGGTGAGTTACTCTGGCGTCTCTCTCCCTCTCTCTCTCTCTCTCACACACACACACTGTACCTTTTCCAACAGGTAGTTGCTGATGTGTCCTCCGGTGGGATCTCCCTTGAAGTCAAAATTGATGTCCATGTATTTTCCAAAGCGGCTGGAATTGTCGTTGCGGTTGGTCTTGGCGTTGCCGAAGGCCTCCAGGACACCGTTGGATTTGAGGAGAACATTTTTCACCCTGTAGAAAGTCCAAGGAACACACACACACACACACAGAAAAAATGACTTGGGGAGCGGTGGTGAGATGTTACCTGGTTTGGCGAATGCACGTGTGACTAAGGCGATTGTACAAAGCACTGGAAATGGAGCCTTTAGAAGCTCACCTGCTTTATTTATTTGATTTATTTGACTTGTCAATCACTTACAAGGTAATAGGTACAGGTATAAACCTGAGTAAGAATACGGAAAAGAGGTACAAATAAATGGGGGACAATAGGACAGGAATAGTAGGCACAATGGTGCACTTATGCACGCCCCCCCAAAGATCTCTTAGAAATGGGGTGAGATCAATCGTGGATAGTTTAAGGCGGGGCCGCCAACTTTTGGGGCCTCGGGGACCCCCAAACTCATAATTTTAAATCCCTTGGACCACTAATATGAATCCAGCTTGCCTCTCGCTGAAGCGCCTGGACTCCCACTGACGGGGTGGGGTCCTTCAGGCACTTAGCTTGGCTGCCTGTTTCTGCAACCTTAAATACTGAAAAAGTCATTTGGACCCGTTTCCCATAGAAAACAAAAATCCGGGACCTCTCACCTCTCTCTCTGCCTTTTTTCTTTTTCTCTCTCTTTCCCTCTTTCTCTTCTCTCTCTTTTTCTCCCTCTCTCTCATCTCTCTCTGTCTCTTTCGCTCTTTCTTTCTCTTTTTCTTGCTCTCTTTCCCTCTCTCTGTCTCTCTTTCTCCCTTTCTTCCTCTTCCTCTTCTTCTCTTTCCCTCCCTCTCCTCTTTCTCCCTTTCTCTCTCTCTTTTTCTGCCTTTTTTCTCTCTCTTTCCCTTTCTCTTCTCTCTCTTTTTCTCCCTCTCTCTCATCTCTCTCTCTTTCCGTTTCTTTCTCTTTTTCTTGCTCTCTTTCCCTCCCTCCGTCTCTCTTTCTCCCTTTTTTCCTCTTCTTCTTTCCCTCCCTCTCTCTTTCTCCCTTTCTCTCTCCTTTTCTGCCTTTTTTCTCTTTCCCTCTTTCACTCTCTCTCTTTTTCTCCCTCTCTCTCATCTCTCTCTGTACCTTGTCTCTCTTTCCCTCTTTCTTTCTCTTTTTCTCACTCTTTCCCTCCCTCCGTCTCTCTTTCTCCCTTTCTTCCTCTTCCTCTTCTTCTCTTTCCCTCCCTCTCTCTTTCTCCCTCTCTCTCTCTCCTTCTCTTTTTCCCTTTCTCCCTCTTTCTCCCTTTCTCTCTCTCTCCTTTTCTTTTTCCCTTTCTCCCTCCTTTTTTCTCTTTCTCCCTCCCTCCCTCCCCCCTCTCTGTCTGGAGGGTGGAGGAAAGGAACCTCTGGACTGGTGCTGAGTGGTGCCGGAGGCCGACGAGCCACGTGCTGAACACCAGGTGGCTGATGGGGAGCCGGGGCAACAGGCAGCAAGTGGACTTATGTGCGTGGGAGATCGCAGCATCAGAGCCCCTGCCAGGTGCATCCCTCCTCACGCGCATCGGTCCATCTGCTGACGGTATCACCCCAATTGCAGACGCGGGTGTGCTGCAGCCCATCAAAATTTTCTCACGGATCATCACTGGGTCGTGGCCCACCGGATGGAAACCATTGGCTTAAGGTTAAAGAAATGGGGGTTAGAGGATGTACCAACAGAGTCAGCTGTGGCTGAAGTCAAACTTTCTGCAATCCAGTTTGGAGCAGTTTACATTGAGTTTGTATCTGCTGTGTGCTCTTGTGTTGTTGCGGTTGCAGATAATTTTTGTGTACTACGCTTAAGTCCAACTTTAGGAGGTGTAGTTCTAGGTTGTCCAAGCCCCAAAATTTCAGGCTTGGTGATGTAGGGTATTCTGTTGCAAGCGGAGGAGCGTAGTAATCTTCTTGTGGACTCGCTCAATTGTACTACTTACAATTACCTTACCTTCCAAGTCAGCAACGGTAAGTAGAACAACAACGAGCAGCAGGGAATCAGCTGTGCTGCACAATTGAGATGTGCTACAAAGCAGGAATAAAACAGCTGATTGTCGGAACAACTGGTTTGCGCAAACCGGTCCAAACCAGCAGCATCCCACCGTTGCTTGGTGGGACCGGCAAGAGTTACATCTGGGCTTCATGGGGATTTTAGGGCTCCTCCCGACCCCTCAATGAAGCCCTCCACCAGCCTATTCCACTTCCTCTTTGCCTCTCCTACCTCGCAGGGTTGTTAGAAAGAAGATTTAAAAATGATGGCAGATCAGATATTTACTTTTATTTCCCATATTCCCGGTTCTGGAATGGTAGTTTGTGACCTTAGCAGCTTTAAAGAGAGCCCGGGCGATTCTGAGGGTTGAAGTCAATAAAGCTTCCTGACTGGAGGATTCTGGGAATTGAAGTCCACTCCTCTTAAAACATGGCAGCTGGGGAATTCTGGGAGTTGAAATCCACCCATCTTAAAGCTTGAGGGTTGGAGGATTCCGGGAGTTGAAAGTTATCCCTATTAAAGCATACCAGTTCCGGGATTCTTCCACTCCTCTTAAAGCATGCTGGTTGGGGAATTCTGGGAATTGA